CTCTTTCCAAACACAGACAAAATGTACTTCATTTATTTTAAATCTGGCAGAAAGTTATTAATTACAAAAACAATATTGTTCACCTAGTAGCTGTCAGTATATCAAACTATTAACTAATTATCAATATAATTATATGTTATATAATACACCCACCTTTTTGTTGTTCACATCAATTTCCTTTGCACCAGTAATATTCAGTTCTCTTAGCTGTGCTTTCAAGTCACTGTTCATCTCAAGCTCCAGCAGAGCCTACACAAGACAAGAGCCATCACTTGGTTATAAATAGATCTGGGCAATTAGTCAAATGATTAATCTGTGTTCAAATATTCTCACAAGACTTAGAGAGTAGGAACAACTGAAGAAAGTAACAATTGGAAATACTAACTTTGAGTACTTTCACGAGTATACACGTTAATTGATTAAACTGAACAATCACAAATTATCAAAGAATAATAATGATAAATTAGAATGGTAGTAATTTTTTAATTACTGAGCTAGTTGGAACAATCTAAAAGATTAACAGTTGGAAACACTAACTGATGCTGATAGGTAATCAATTAATTTCCCAGCTCTAGTTAAAATGTTTTCTAATACTTCTCTATGGAGATGTAACAATGATATACAAAAGGTTCAGAATCTGCACAGTTGTTACATCTCCCATAGAGAAGTATTAGTATCTCAAGAATATACAAAAGGTTCAGAATCTGCACACTTGAGATACTAATACTTCTCTATGGGAGGTGTAACAACGATATACAAAAGGTTCAAAATCTGCACACTTGAGATACTAATACTTCTATCTAAAGAAAGCAAGTTGCATTGTATGAATTTGAAAAATTAGAATTTAACATTTAGTTAATAAAAGTTTTGAGATGGCTTGACTGGGCAATGAAAAGCTATTATAAATGTACGACATTTCAACAGGATTTTGTTATCCTCGGGTACAAGTGGTTTACGGAGACACCCGAATATATATATGCAGTATAGAATAGAGAGGTCACATGACCAGATATTGCTTCAGGGTGGGGCCCATTTATTGATGTTAGGTCTATTGTTTGAAATTACAGTGTTTTGTATGAAAGTACTGTGGTTTTTTGAGTTGTAATGGTGGTAAAAATGGGAGGGTTTTTTTTATTCTGTTGAATAAATCTGGTTACCAATTTCATTACAGTTTCAATTCTGGACAGTTATTGTATGTTATTTTATAAATGATGTTGGAGTTGTGTGATTCTATGTAATTTTATTTAATAATGATTTTAGTTTAGTACCAGGTTTTTGGGTGAATTTGACATCAACAGGAATTTTTATATTTAATGGCAAGTTTTCTCCAAATGTCTGTTATTTTTGAACTGATGTTAGGGACAAATGGTAAACTGCAGTGTAATGTTGTGTTGTTGTTTGGTGTATTAGGTGTTAATTTTGTTTGTGAGTTGAGTTTGAAGGTTTTTGTTCTGGTGGTTGTGTGGAAATATTTCGACAATGGTTAGTGGAAACTTGGTGTGAATGAAGGAATGCTTTATAAAGTTGATTTCTTCATCTACGTAGTCAGTTGAGCAAAGTCTTGAAGCTGTGTATATAAGATTTTTAATTAAATTTTTGTTGGGATTTGTAGACGGAATTCCAGGGGATGTAGAGGCTTGTGCGAGTGATTTTTGGTTTTGAAATGTGTGTCGTGCCTGATAATGTCGAGGTTAAGAAAAGGTAACTGTTATTTTCATGTTAGGGTGAATGAAGTTTGTGTTCATAAAAAGTGTTGTTGACATATCTGTAACAGTATCCCAGGTTTAATAATTATTTATTAAATTAATTCACTGTCACACATCTAGTTTTACTAGATTTCTATACTTTTTTCATAATATAAAAAACAAACAAAACTACCCGCCCCTAGTAACAGAAAAGTTTAATTTAACAAAACTACCCGCCTCCAGTAACAGAAAAAGTTAGTTAATTTAACAAAACTACCCACCCCCAGTAACAGGAAAAGTTTAGTTAATTTAACAAAACTACCCACCCTCAGTAACAGGAAAAGTTTAATTTAACAAAACTACCCGCCTCCAGTAACAGAAAAAGTTAGTTAATTTAACAAAACTACCCACCCTCCAGTAACAGAAAAAGTTTAGTTAATATAACAAAACTACCTGCTTCCAGTAACAGAAAAAGTTAACCATGTTGCACTTTGAGCCAAAGCTCAGAGCTACTTATATCGCCCATCACAAAAATCAATTGTTTAACATTTCTTTAAGTTACGTGTGATTAATTCCTGACAATTTAATGTAGAATATCCTGCTTGGGAAATAAAACTTGACATCAACTTTATTCATGTCTGTTCTCAGTCATTTCAAAAGTGAATGCTGAGCTTTGCCTGAATGCTCAGATTTTCAAATGCAATACATACAAGATTGTAAAATTTCCATGCCAAATTTTTTTTTGCTTTCACAAAAAAGTTAATCAAAACCTGTCTCCTAAGACATTTAACTGTATACAATATGAATAGCTATGGGCTAATTGTATTTAAAGTTTTAAAGAAGAAATTATAAACTAATTATACAATCAGTACATCCTCAAGTGACTTCAAATAGTTTACAAATATCAAGTATGCACAACTGTTCCCACAGTTAGGAAACTGCATGGACCAACTATTATGTAAAATGATTATCACACCAATGTGTTATCTTTCAGTACAGTATCATTAACTTAAGTGCCATGAGACTGTTTGTTAAACAATCCACAAGTAACTGAGGCTCTAAATATCAACACCGGTAAACTTTAATAAACTCCATTTCACTTGTACTACAAACAAACACAAATTTTAGATGTCCTTACATCAGTCTGCTTTGAATGGGTAATGAAGAAATACGTAATCATATATTTGATATATACCAAAGCAAAGAATGTGTGCAAAATCATGCTCGATAACAAGGAAATTTTTATATATTAATTTACAAATAAATGGAATTTTTAATACATTGAACTGTCAAAAGTAATGTTGCATTAGCTGAATGTGCATGTGGTCAATTCAATGAGCCCATACAATTGACTAGAATATAATACCCAGGACAGACTTTAATATCTCTCTTTGTTGTAACCCAACCAAATGTCTGAAATTAGGACATTATTTTTGACGTGGGAATTTTTTTTACTTTCACCAATTTCTGCCGATACACAAACTAATCTAACAAAATTTGCCGACTTTTTAAAATTTTTACAACTGTATTTTGATTAGAATATTCTTTTCTCTAAAATTCATGTAGTCCATAACTAAGTGGGAGGGCCTCACCTGATTACCAATTGACAGCTCAATGCTGATTGGCCAATGCATTGAGGTTTGACAAAATGGTTTATCTCATCCCTAGGACCCTTCACGCTAAACTAATAAATACACTAATTAGCAGGCGAGAATTTACTATTGACAAGCGTACATCAACAACACGGTGAACACAAGTCTGTTCAGGGTAACCATCTCCAAAAAATGTTTTTACAGATTGAGGATTATGGTCAAAAACAAATGAATTCTGATTGTAAACTTATCCAGATGGAGGGAAGTACTTTAGATTTACTTAGCGATTGACACAAAATAGAAGAACATAAGTTTGTCAGCAACATTCAACTTTGTTGACATAGACCAGCAAGAGTGTGTTGTGAAAGAATTTGAAATTTCTGTAATCCTCTTCTTAGAATAAACGTTGATATTAATGGTTTAACGCGTTAACAGAACTAGGGGTATTTCAAAAATGTTTTTGCCAATCAATTTGAAAAATAAAATTTACCTGCCTACCTACCCACCCACATCTTATCTCTCTCACTACGGGCTCGGTCCCAAGGACTAACGTCATAACCATTTTGTACTTGTTTGTTTTCAAACTAAAACATTTAATACAGGAAACACATCTTCACAAAATATTGCAGATTATCAGCAAACATTACAAGGCTTTTGCACACAAAATATCAGATTTTTAAAATTAAGTTTTAATATTTTTTAAGTAATGAATTGGTTCGTGCATTTTTTCTTTTCAAATGTTGACTATCCAACATGCAAAGTAATTTTGATTTTAAGATTAAAAACTCTTGTACGCATCAGAAAATTGTCAAACTTCACATGAGAAATATTTATAACCTCCAGTTAATTATCAAACGTTTTTTCCAAAAAATAGTATAAAACTGGCCTTTACAAAGTGACCTCTCTTCGGTTTATTCTAGTGAACCAGTATTTTGTAAAATAGTCACATTTCTGTTACAATACATTAGATATGCCTATATATTATTACTATTTACAAACAAGTTCTTAAACCCCAGTACTCGTTTGTCCGTTTGCTGTAACTTGCTAAGCCTTGTCAAATTTCAATTCAAATGGAGGATGTAAAACAAATTAATTTTTCAGGTTTTATATATGTATTTTGAAATACCCAAATATAAGAAATTACTCTCAATTTTGCAGAATTCCAAATTTGAGTTTAAAAAAATAGTTTTTCGGACATTTTTACATACCACTTCCTCTGATAATTCAAGACAAAGAAATAACCTTGGAAACTTCCAAGCTTCTAGAGACTGAGAAAGTCACCATGGTACATTCTGAGCCTTTGATTGGTTATTCACACATCATATTCACAGTGGCCACTGTTTGATTCACTAAATTTAGCGATATTGCAGCAAATATGCGGGGTAGGAGATTATTTTATATTCAAGCTTGACAATATATGGGTAATTTGAGTTTCTAATTCATAAAAACTATACTTTGTATCTGACACCATAAACATCTAATCTGAACCACAGCTGTATTCAACATACCAGTGACACACAAAAAATAAATATTTAGGAATTTTGTTTTAAATAAGGAAATTAACTAATGTATAATACTGAAATTTGAATCTACAGTTTGATATCAAAGTTACTGGCATACATTTATAAAATAGTAGACAAATAAAATTTTGAATGTAAGTCTACAAATGTGATGACATGCCCTTCAACCCCTGACCCCTAGGAAGACCCCATAGTGAGGGGGTTAAATCAGTTTAGGGTTACAGCAAACAAAAATATTTTTAAGCCCAACTACCAATATTAGATTATTTTTCCATTTCTTCAGTGTCCAACTAACAACATACTATAGATACTGACAAGCCAGATTATAAACTTCCAATCTTCTAGCTCTATTCAGATATCAAAAACAAATCAAACTTGCACATCACCTTTCAAAACATATCAGTAATTCTCTGACACTACTATCAGTTTATTTAAAACCAACAGAAATAGCTTTGTCTTTTAAAGATTCCTCATACTGCTATTTCATTTTGGTATTTGTAAGTAGATACTTGGCCTCAGTTTCTAGCACCTAACATCTTTTATAGCTTAGTTAGAAAGGCAATTAAATTATAGTTTTGGGACATTCAGTTTAGTGCCCAATATATATTTGTTTTCTAAAATATATCTTTGAAAGGTACAACATGAAAAAACTAGTGCTAAGGAATTATGCTATGAAGTCCAAAACGTGTTTATATTTTGTATGTAGTTATTATTTAACAAATTAGTTGAAAATTTAAAATTTCATCAGACCAGTATGAACTGTTAGTGATCGTAACCTGACTAGATCTTTACATCAAGTTCTCTCACTATTTTTAACTCCACTGTAAAATAATAAAATTGAAGGAAAGTAGCATTTTGGAGGGTTTAGAGGATATGCAAATAATATACAAAAACTGTAACATGAATTATTTATATTGTCAAGTTAGACTCTCACACTGATTCAGCAAAGTCTTTGCAAGTTCAGAGAAATCTTTAAAAAAAAATCTGATTATTTTTTGGATACAACACTTATGTTTACTAACAGTTTGCCAAATTTCAGGGCAATATATTTAGTACTTTGAATTCTAGCAAACATAACTGTGTACATCTTCACAGAAAGTCAGACCAATGGATTGACAAAGGATTAAACAAATTATTCAATCAGTATCACCTAAAACAACCATATAACATACCTGAGCAATAGAAGATTCAAATTCATCGGGTTTTTCCCCTTGGGGCTTGACAATTTTAGCACTAGCCGAATACATCTGTTAAAAAAAGATAAACATACATCCTTAACTCAAGTCAAATTACTACAGATACTAATTACCATGCAAAAAAACTGAAGATGCCAACACCACTGAAAATTACTGTAACAATTGTTTGATGTACTTTCCACATGTTAACATTATTATTCACAGTATGTGACCAGAAATACTGTACAGTTATCCAACCAAACAGGCTGTTCAAGGCTTGTGATAGTGAGAGATGAAAGACAACAGATTATTAAAGTTTTTTAAATTACATACTGTTTTTAGCTTTTACATTAACAAAAAAACACATACTTAAAGCACTCTTTTAATCAAAGTAAAATGCTAATCTGTCTTTAGTGAAATCCGAGTATAATTTTTTAAACAGCTTCGTGAATGGTATATATCGACAAAGCTTATCAAAGTCAAAGGTAAACAGCGTAACACCAGTGTAGTCAATAATTGATTACGTTGAAAACACTCCACTAGCGTAGAGTACCAACAATAAATGAAAAGATGAAGTGCCGTTAAACTCCATCTTCAAAGCTTTGACTTTGCCTTTTGTTTTCCTCCATGACAAAATTCAAGCCACGTTTATTTTTAGTTCGTTTGGTCATCTGCCGAGTCAAAGGTCACAATATCATCACTTTTGGTTTCCAAAAGCCTATCAAATTGCCAAGATACTACATGCTTATTCATATTCTTCCAACTCAGCATGCATAGTATAGGCATAAGCCAATCAGCATGTTTGATCCAAGAGTATGTCAGTACCAATACATCTGTAAAGGAGGTGAAGTAATGATATTTTCCTCAAAAGGTTTTTCTCAGATGCTGATCAACAACAGATACAACTAAAGATTATCAAATACAATAAAAAGTGTATCACTGGTTGAACACAGCGACTGGCAACAGTTAAACAGAGGATAAATTCAACGGAATGTGGTGACTACTCAGTCTTCACACTGAAGTAAACATGGATTTTTTGACTAGTTGAAAATAATTAATACTCTACATTGGTATGGAACAAAGTAACAGCAGTAAAACTGATTGTAAGTGTTACAGCCATTAAAGGATAGTTTCACAAATACAGTCAATTTTTGGTGGCAATAGTAGTATTAGCTACAAGTTGATCAGTATGAGGAGGTTCAGGGATTCTGAAATCAATCCCCTTATGTTACAAAGTCCTTTATCGATACTAGACATGATGTCTCCTCTTTACATCAATTCTTAGTTAAACATTTAACAGCTTATAGTTATAAGCTATACTGATTTCATACTACAGGTCTACAACAAACCTTACTAATGTACATTTTGCTCAAAAGTGTTAGGATTTTTGGAGGGGTAAGTCATAAATGTGATTTTCAATTAAATTTATCACAACTGTAAAACTTTAATCATAACTAGAATTTTATATAATGATTAAAAAAATTAAGTTTTCAGTGCTAGCTTAGGACATTCACATTTACTTCACACCTCATTTTCTAGTCAAATGTCCGTTCACAGCTACACGTCTAAGCTTCATACACAAACTGGATCTGGAGACACTTAAACCTTAAATATTTCACCTTGTGACACCAATAATTTTTCTGTCAATATTAATTAAAATACAAAACCTAATTTAAAACGCTAGACTTGACTTTGAATATCACTAATCCATTATTTCAATGGCATAATAAATCCATCATCTGTATCCATTTTAAATTTCATTTTTGAAGCCTTCAAAAACTACAGACCTTATTGTTTAATTTCTACCATAGTACATTTAAAAATCAGTCATTCTAGTTTCAACTTCAAGCTTTGGCTCTATTTAAGTATTTGTTAACCTTCGGTTAACATTGCCTTTTACTTTTTAAATGTTTAAAATAAAATTAAGTACTACTACTATAGTAGTTACTTTTCATTTTTATAAAATATGAAAACAGTAATCAAAAAATAATAACAATAATAATAAAAACATGATGAAAAACCAACCCAACAAAGTTTTACACACACTTTTTGAAGAAATCAGATAAATTATTTGATAAATTGTAAACAACATCTTGTTTCGAATGAAAAGCCTAATTGTAGTGACTAATGCTGCAATAAAACATCATGATCATACACCGCACACTCAATCCAAAATCATCTGATTTAAAAGATACAATATATCTCTGTTACATTACCTGAAGAAAAATATAGATTTCTGAGAATATTTTTGTTATTGCAATTTTAAAATTATTGGGCAGAATTTACCACAAAAATCTCAAACTTCATCAAGAAACACAATACATAACTTACCTTGCTTCGGGAGCTAAACGAAAGAGGAAAATTAATCTCGTTCTCAGCTCTCATAAGTTTGAGAAAATCGCACTAGAGGACGCTATACATAAAAAGTTATTAATTTAAATATTATGATAATTAAACAAATAAAACACTAAACAGTAATCATGGGGAGAAACTACAGCAAAAAAACACAACGAAAAGAAAAGAAAAAAACGAAAAATCAGTAATACAAACATATTAAAAATGTATAATTGAAATGAAGACTGCATGTTGTTCAGAGTTGGAGCGTGCTG